ATATATATACCTTAACGTAGTCCTATCGTGGGTCTGTTCTATTAAAACGTGGGTCAATGCCTCTGATACCCATAATTTCCACTTAAACTACTGTGTTTCTGGGTTATAGGACTTGTTATTCCTTTAAGACACCATAAAGTCGACAATCTTCATATCTTGTTTCTGTTCTTTACATGAATCACTCTCAAAGTCAGTGGTTTCAAATTCGAGAACAAGATTTATGTCCATTTCGTCGGCATTTTGTAGGCGGGATAGCATATCGGCGGCAATGTTTTCATTCCCTTATCGTTGCTGAAATTATATTCCTAGAATTGTAATGACCTCCGAGCTAAGCGACCACTATGGTCTTTTAGACTCATCTGCCATTGCTGGCTCGCGTGATTCGTGATCACCCCAAATAGCCAAAATTTTGGGTATGTACCATAACCTTATCCTTAACTATATTATTGATGTCTTTTGTTATAATTTGGACACCTTTGGGTTCTAATTCTTCCGATTCACAGGGTTCTCTGACAGGCAAGCTTTCCCTGTGAGTTACACTGTCGACATACAGGAAATTTTTGGGTAATTGTGTCTGCTTTCCCACACCTATAGCAGAACAAGACATGCCAATTTCGCGGCAGTTCAGTTTATTAATGGAACTCTAAGGTTGGTTTTCTAAACGAATATCTGACAGACTTTCATCAGCATTCTCCTCTGGCACTTTTACAGGTTACTCATATATTTCTTTTATTTAGCGGATTGGTCGTTGGAGACCATCTGTATACGTGCTTGTGGAAGCTTCGTTTGGCTTCTATACATTCTATACCCTGTTGTGCAGCTGACGATATTATCATTTGATACACTATTGGTATTCGTAAATCCCCATTGGAAGATACATTATTCTTGCAGATTGTCACCAATGTAAATATACACTCATCTTTCAACATCAGTTGTCTCTATATAAGGATTTTTTATATGTAATTTTTGGCTTTTTCTATACCCTTCACAATAGCATGGAGAGTATATTAAGTTTGTCATTCCGTTTGTATCATCTCGAAATATACAATTTAAACAATTTAAACAATTTAAACCACGATAACCGTCCGCCTCGAGGGACCTCATTTTGTAACAATTCTTGGGTGGTGCGTGCTGAGTCCTGTTGGAATATCCAAAGTCTGCGGCCAAAATGTTTGCGTGCAAAGGCTTTACCCCGAGCTCATTTTTCTATATGGAATGGAATATTGCGATAGGTTCAGCTCACGTTTGAAGTTGGTTGCAGTTTTTTCATCTCACCCTGTATATACAATTTACTTATAGCCCTACAATATAACTGTATATTTTAATGTTTTTAGCGTAATAATAGTTCATCATGGGTACTACAGTCTGTGACGGAAAATGACTATGCAGGTCCACACCTTTGTATAAAGACCTTACAACGGTACCTCCCTATATACGGTATTTTGCTGGTTTTAGTGACATTATTCTCCGGAATTGTTTCAAATTTCGTATTTGCACTTTGCAACGGGTACTACAGCTTGTAACAGATAATTGCCACGTCCACGTATCCGTATAGACTCCAAAATAACGGTAGCTCCCTGTATTCGGTATTTTTATGATTTTCACAGAGTTTTTAAACGCTTCTATTTATACCCTACAACACTATGTGTTGGAAGTATTATAAGTTTGATTGGGCCAAAAATTATGTAACACCTCGAAATATTGGTTTCCCACATAGGAAAGTATATATGGATCTTAATATCTCACCGAGATGGGTCGATCTAGCTATGTATGTCTGTCCGTCTGTCCATGTTAATTTGTAATCAAGCTACAGGTCGCAATTATGAACCGATCCTCACGAAATTGAAATTGGAGGCGGGGTTATGGTCAGAATAGAACCCTATTGTTTCTGGAGATGATCGAACGATATTTAGGGGTTGAAATAGACCAAAAAACAGGAAAAATTCCTGATTTTGCAGTTGCTCTATAGACCCACAATTATGAACCAATCGACGCGAATATTTACATGGAGTTAGAGTTTAGGAGTGGGCAGAAACCTACCAATTTGGGCGGCCATCGGACAATAATTAGCGGGTAAAATAGAGCCTTACTTTTATGTAAGAAAATAGGAAAATGTCCACTAAACCGCGAATATTTCCAATCCCAGCCAAATCACAAATACATAAAAAGATCACTTCTGATCGTAAGAGTGATGCTAATAGCCAAGATATCGGATATATAGCAAAATATGTACAATATACATGTAAAAGAATAGATGTTATTTATTCTGCTTATAAATCAAGAACCGCTGAGCCGATTTTCACAATTCCCATCAATTCGGAATGATCTCTTACCATAAAACGATAAAATCTAAGAAAATATACCAATAAAAAAGTGAATATCTTTTGTCGATTTTTTTTTCAATTTTTGTCATATTTTTATCGCATGCGATTTTTTTCAATTTGACTTATAATTTTGAATTGTAAATTTTCAAAATTTTTACACCCCCGACACTACGTTTTGATGGTATTATATGCATATCGCAATTATCGTCCGATCTACACGAAATTTTGCATGGGGGTAGGCTAAGGGTCAGAATTAAAGCATATTGTTCTTAAGATGTGCATTTAGAGGTGCAAATAGACTAAAAAAAATAATTTTTCTAATTTTGTAGTCGCTCTATAGGCCACAATTGAAAACTAATCGACACGGAATTTCGCATCAGAAGAGAGTTAAGGACAGGGAAGAAGTTTAGCATTTTGGATGACCATTGGATTATATTTAGCTGTAAAATATACCACAACTTTCGTGAGATTGTTTTGAATACTTAACAACACTACGGAGTGCGTAAATATTGACCAAATTCTCCAGATCAAAAAACTAAGGGTAACATCTGGGCGGGGCTCTTTGACATTATTTCAAAAACAAAATCTTCCAAATGGATTTGGATATAAGGGGACTTTGAACATATTGTAATGTTGTAGGGTATCACATGGTCGGCCCCGCACAACTATAGCCTTTGCTTACTTGTTTTTATTTTATTTATTTATTATTATACCCTACAACACTATGTGTCGGGGGTATTATAAGTTTGATTGGGCCAAAATTATGTAACACCTCGAAATATTGATTTCCCACATAGGAAAGTATATATGGATCTTCCTATCTCGCCGAGCTGAGTCGATCTAGCTATGTATGTCCGTCCGTCCGTCTGTCCATGTTAATTTGTAATCACTCTACAGGTCGCAATTATAGTCCGATCCTCACGAAATTGAAAATGGAGGTGAGGTTATGATCAGAATAGAACCCTATATCTTTTGGAGATGATAATATTTAGGGGTTGAAATGGACCAAAAACTGAAAAATGTCCTGATTTTTTGGTTGCTCTACAGGTCGCAATTATATCCCAATCGAAGCGGAATTTAGCAGGTGGCTAGAGCTTAGGTCTGGGCAGAAGCCTTCTAATTTTGATGGTCATCGGGTAATATTTAGTGGGTTAAATTGACCATAACATTTGTTTTAAATAAAAGTCAAATTTTCCATTAAACAGCGAATATTTTTTGAATTCCGGCGAAATAACAAATAGACAAACAGGTCAATTCTGGCTGTTACATAGATGCCGATAGTAAATATATCGGATATATATAGCGAAATATATACAATGTATATATATAAGGAAGGGGATGTTAGCTAGAATGCTTATATCTTAAGAATGGCTGGACCGATTTTGAAAAATTTTGTCAATTCAGAATTCTCTCTTGGCATAAAAGTATAAAATCTAAAAAATCGCATAAAAAGTTGCCAAAAATGATGTTAATATAGATTTTTTAGCATTTTATTACATTTTTTTATTTTCTTCATATTTTTTATCGCATGCGATTTTTTCAATTTGACTTATAATATTGAAGTGAAGTGAAGGGCTAGGCCTACTGTTTTTAAAGATGTCCGCAATGTAGTATTTAGGGGTTTAAATGATATAAATGAATGATGACCATTGAACTACATTTAGCTATAAAATGGACCACAACAACTAACAGCACGACGGAGTGCGTAATATTGGGCAAATGTCCCTGGTCAAAATGTTAAGGGTAATATCTGGGTAGTGGTCCATGACATAATTTCAAAAGCGAAATCTTCCAAAATGGATTTGGACATAAGGGAGCTTCTAACATATTGTAGCATTGTAGGGTATCACATGGTCGGCTTCGCACGACTGTAGCCTATGCTTCCTTTTTTTTTTTTTCAAAATTTTCCAAAAGCTTGAGTCATGGCTAGGCATATTAATGTCAAATTATAATGGAAAACGATGGCAGGATTTTAGTGTGGCTCTGTACTCCCTTTATGAAATGTCACAAAATATGCCTAGCCATAGACTTCAAGCTTCTTATGTACTTGCACCTTTACACCTTTAAGGTGAGAATACATAAAACGCTTTTTGACTGGCTTAAGTCATTGGCTGGCTGCTGACACATGATTTTTATGTGATCTCTTCTTATTATCCTATCCGCCAAATTGATAATTTGCAAAGCATTCATATTACCGTTCTCACTTGCCATTTCGTCGGGTCCTATTCTTCTCTGGAAAGTGAGTCGATCTATGTCAAAGGATTCGGGTCTACCACTTTTTATTCTTTTTCTACTACGTGCATTGTATCTAAGTCTTATTTCTTGAATAATGTTTTAAATATTTTATATTTTTGTAACTTAAAAACATTAATACCAACCAGTTGTGACATTTTGCTACATTAGAATTCTATAGTAATTTTTCGGCCTGCATTTTGATAGCATGACACACATACATCTTCTTTCCATATCATGTTATCAACAAACGCAAATACACATAATAATCTCCCTGTGCCACAGTGTGGCGTGGGGCATATAAATTTGTCATAAAAATATCATATACGACGCCATTTTTTGTGAAATGAAGATTAGTGTTCTTATATTTATTTATTTTTATTTATTTTGTATTTTAGCTATTATCGAACTAACGATTACTTTTTTATTATTATTTAAAATGCATTTGCTTTATGGACTGACTGACTTTGTTCAACTTAAATTCAAAAAAGAAAAACATCAGAGTAAACGAGAGAATAGATTTTAAATATAGTGGCGGGTTATTTAAAATAAATTAAGACACTATTAAAATATAACTAATACAATTAAATACACACATATTTTTGAAGTCACAGCGACAGTTAAGTTTAAAATTAGCCACGCCAACAACTGGCTAATTATCTTTTATCAATCATGCTAGAACTTTGTGACAAACGGCGAACAATATATTTTTGTTGTTTTCAAATAATATTATTGCTTTACAGATAACTTTACACATGTATGTTTCGAGTGAAATTGTTTTTGTGGTGGTTTGCATACTTTTTTTTCGGTTAGCCTTAAAAAATGTTTACATCAGTTTAGGCTTAAATTAATTAAAAGACTGTTTAAGCTTTTTAGAATGCCAAACCAGCATCGCGATAAGTGGTGAAAATCTTTTCATTGAGTTGACGTAGGCAGCTGTTCTCAAATCGAGACCCAAGTTGTATTCATAGCGGTCTTCATGATAGCACGAGCAGAACGCTCCATGGTGTAGTCCAAACCAGAGTGGACAATATCCTTTTCAGAGGCACCGGAGATACGTTTTTGGAAAGCTCGGATGGAGTAACAGGGATGCGACCACCAACGCGACCAAAGCGACGTTCCAGTGATTCTTGTACGGATTCTAAGAGAGAACAAAAAAAAAAAAAAAAAAACAACGAATCATGATATTAATAAGTACGCCACAAGGTTCAACAATTAATGCATGTAGGATACACTTGGGAATAGGATAAATCATTATACTACAACATTTGGCATATACATACATAGGGATAGGCAAGCAGTACATAAATAAAACTACATCTACACAAAAGTAACAAAAGATTGGGCAAATAGTTTTGATGTAATGCGACAATCTTCTATTTACCCGCGATGCTTTTGAATCTTCCAAGATACTATAACTTGAAAAACACATGTATATATTTAATTTACAATCAATGAGTGACATCCAACAAAGTTTTAGAAAACGAATTCCAAGACTATAAAGGTTTTCCCAATTACATATTCTTTTTTTTTAATTTGTCTGTAAATATAATTTCTTGTAAACAACATTTACTTCCATTGGTCATGCTCACAAAAGCACACCTCATTACAACCCCGGTGTTCGTTTTCACAACAAATATGCATTTCAAGTGTAGCTACTACAAATATAAACTAATGATGCCGTGACGAATAAAAACCAAAATATTTGAAATGATACAAATAAAACAAAGGTGTAATAAAATAAAAACATGAAACTGTACCGTCCAAAATAACCGTTCAATAGACTGTTGTACTGAAGCTATATTGATTTAAGAAGAAATAGAGAAACGGAAAAAGAATAAACGAATTACTATGGTAAAAATGCAATATACCACACATACATACAATACAATAAATACTATATATATGAATCAGAGAACGGTCAATGGTCTGGTCTTGTCTTTCGTTAGTTCTTATAAAAATGGGCTCAAAAAAAATATACTTATAAATGAATGATTGTAATTCCACCACACGTTGTCATGTCTGTGAAGCAACCCAAAGATATTTGTGGCAAAACCTAATCTCAAATTTATAACTTAGCAAAATAAAAATATCGGATAGTAAAAGCATCATAAAACCATAGCAAAGCAATAAAATGATTACTTACCCAACAACGTGATAGTTTGATTCACGTTCATATTTGAAAGTAAGACGACCGTATGAGACATGATTCAAGTCTTTAACCATTCGAAGAAGGAAACAGTTACACCACCAGCGTTGATGTACAAATCGGGAATAACCAAAATGTTGCGGTCAATCAAAATCTTATCGGCAGCAGGTGTAGTGGGTCCATAGCAGCTTCGGCGATGATCTGTGATCATGGTAAATTAGTTTGAGAGTTTTAATATATTTTTTTTTTTTCAGATACAAACCTTAGCTTGGATTTTATGGGCATTCTCGCTATTGATAACTTTTTCGACAGCAGCAGGGATGAAGATGTCGCAAGGTTCGAACATCAGATTTTTCACCTTCATAGGGCTTGGCATGAGGGTATCCCACGATAGTTCCATGTTCATTCTTGTAATCTTCCAAAGCCTAAAGAAATATAAAGAAGTACTTATTAGATTTGTTTTAATAATTAAATAATAGCATGTTCTGATTTTGATTATATCATTTTTAACTGGACGAGAACTTTTTAAAAAAGTATCAATATAACGATTTTACTTTTAATCGCGTTCGTTAAGTCTAACAATGCTTAGTAACTTAAAGAGAAAAGTTCGGACGTCTTATGTCTCTCTCCCTCTTCCTCTTTTGCAATAAAAGGATAATGGGTTTACAATTCAATAAGTTATATTAAAATTAAAAAAAAGAAAGTACATACCTTAGGATCAATACCCTCGGGATGAAAATGCAGCCGTCGTGTTCAATAACACCAATGCAAGTGGCACCGGCACGAGTCAAATAACGGGTGGAGTGAAGACCGACATTACCAAAACCTTGGACGATAAAAGTTTTGCCACCCCAGCCGGGAGTTGTACCGATCATGCTCATGTAGTGGCCTCGTTAATGAAATTCTCCAAACCGTGGAAAACACCGCGACCAGTGGCAGAATACACGACCATGAATACCACCTTGATTGATTGGTTACCAGTTACACAAGCATGGGCATTAATATCCAAGTGACCGATAGTTTTGGCATAGGTATCAGCGATCCATGACATTTCACGTTCACCAGTACCCATACAGGAGCTGGTACATCAACGCCGGGTCCAATGAAGCCCTTCTTGGCCAATTCAAGAGTGAAGCGACGAGTGATTTTCTCCAATTCATGTTCTGAGTATTCTTTGGGATTGATTTTCAAACCAGCCTTGGCACCACCGAATGGTACATCAACCACAGGCACACTTGAAGGTCATCAAGCGGACAAAGCCTTAACTTCATCGCGTGACACATCCATAGAGAAACGGATACCTGTAAATATTGCAAGAAACAATTTTTAATTTTAAGGTATTACTCATAAAACTGGGGTGTTTAGTAAAATATAACCAATAGTATGATCAACAATAATGTTTCAGTGTTGCAACAACATACAGCCACCATGCCATTTGGAAAATGTCCAACTGTTTCATTTCTTTTTATGCAAAATACCTTTGAATTTAGATCCTGAAAACGTATGTTCATTCAAGTGTGTTTGTAGAAGTAAAAATTGCTAAATAAAAAACTATTTCAAGGTGCTGTTGCAAAGTCTATTGACTTGACAGCAATGGCGGACCCAATTGCAACACAATGTGAATGAAGATCGATTAATGTGCCACGTTTTTCTCTTGCTTTCATTCTTTTTATTCATATCGACAAGTAATTGTGCCAGGAATATTACGAAATTAACATGCCATATGGCAGAAGCACGTGATTACAAAACGTGTGTAAAACAAGTGGCTAATGTGATTTCTACAAATCAAAACAAAAAGAAAAAAAATACATTGCTCAGAAAACAGATGTTAAGGCATTGTCATTTTTTGTAGAGTTTGCTATAAATAACAATTCAAAGGAATTTTTATCACAAAGGCACATATGTACGTGGGACTTTGGGAGCGATAAGATAAACACATATCTACAGATATCGTTTTTAATAGACGTTATAAACAAAATGCTTTGAAAGTCTAATATCAATTCCATGTTTTCTAATTGAATACAATAAATATTCAAAAGGTGGACTATTTATCGTTTTGGATATAAAGGCAATCTATGTTTATGATATTAAAAAGGCTTCTATACTTTGATATGGGCCCTGAGATACATATATGATTGATAGGAGTTACCTTTTTACGTTTCAATCCTTCTTTAAAAACAATTTATTTATTGAAACTAAGCTATTGAAAATAGATTCATTCAAATTAAGTCTGATTAAGAATAAAATATGTAATTCTTGTGTTTAGCCACATCCAATATTTACCCGAATCCCATCAGCATCAACATTTTCCAGATATTGTTTATGTACGACCGAAATTTTTCATCATTTTAGATATAATGATTTTCTTATATTTTAAGGAAAATGAATGCATGTATGCTGAAAAATCATGTGGGAAATAATTCTGCAACTTGATTGCTACGCATTTGCAAATAAATAGCGTGTCCTCACACATTTCATCAGACAATATTTCGACTCACGTAAGTCATATAGAACATTTAAGAATGGATGTAGACTTAAACATTGCAATGAAAATATCTTGAAAATCATTGAAAAGGTCTAAAAGCCGCATTCCATCTCATAGGTTTGATCTTTTCTCTCATATCTCGAGGTTTGTGTATCTCATCGTCCAGGCATAGATTTTCCAAAACTCAAATCGGCTTCTAGGTTTTTTGTCAGTATTTTATATTGATCGAAAACAAAAATTCTCCATAGGTAGTCTTTTATTCATTGTATGTTTTTGAAAGACTAGTTTTTTTAGACCTAGGAAAGTTTAGCTGGGACATTTTCGTTCCCCTTTGACCATGCCCCCCTTGTGTTCGTTTTCAGAAATTTTTGTTTTTCTATTATTTCCTTTTTTTACATGGTCTTTTTCTATTCTTGCATTAAATATCATAGAAAGACACAAAAGGCATTTCCTCGTAACGCTCCTTAATACAAAGAGCGAACACAACAAGTAAACTTTAATAATTTTAAACATTATATATAACTTATTTATTTCGATTAGGATATACGAATAAATTTCCTTTTGCTTTAATCTAACAAAAATTGCATTTAAATCTACAAAACAAAAAAAATAGAAGGGTATCAGCTGATCCTGTCGTTTGATCATCATGCGAACGTAACGAAAGCAAACCATTTAAAATGGATTGTTTATTAAACAAATATTTGATTAAACTGTACCACTTCTAAAGAGCATTCGAAAACAACGAATAATTTATGATGCCATCTCACACGATGAACATAAAACGGCAAATGGTATATAACCTTGTTGCTGCAGAGAATTTTGCACCATTGGATGACAAAAATACAGTTTATCAGTAAAAAAAATGAAAAGAGAGAATGGCGTTTATTTGCCGAAATAAACGTACAAACAGCAATACAAAATGGCAAACTAACAACAAATAAAATAAGCAAACATCGTAAATGATAATGATAAAAATTATCGGGTATTTGGTATGTGTGTTGTGTATGAGTAAACAACACTGAAGATCACCATTGCAGAATACCAACACCACAAGTCCCGATTTTTTGGCCAACGCATACATACATTCATCGCGTGATAAAAGCGTCAGTTTGTAAGAGGTTATTCTAATCAAAATTTATTTTGAAAAACAAAAGACGTATTTTGACAGAACAAAAAGCAAACACGTTGTTAGAAAAAAAACAAGTAGCAACAACTTAGCTGGCAAACAGTGAAAATTGGGGGCTCGATCACTCGTCGCCATGTGGGGTTGTTCTTTATATAGCAACAGATAAAGACCAAGTTAAAGAACTATGCTGGCCGGTTGTTATTATTTACGTATTTGCTGTTTTCTTATAAGACATCAGTTCCATTTATACAGTAGATAAGAAAAAAAAAATAATAATGGCTACCTATTCCATATATATGTACAGCCAGCACGTATGTAGACCTATCGATTGTCACCGTTCATATGTCTGTAAAATAGAGAACGTCATCACGGCGGCTATGCTACAGTTTCTCTAGCTAAAAAAAACAGCCAACAATTTGGTAGTCAATAAAAACTATTCACAACACTCTCTAATGAATTTGGTCACCACCCATAGCTAAAAACAAAATATCAGATAAACAGAAAAATTAGTTGTTCGAATACATGCTTGCGAAATATTTGATTGTTTTTTAGTTTGTTGTCAGGTGACTTGCTGCGAACTTAAAAACAGAACAATACATAGCCGCACACATCGTCGAATACTGTTTAGGTGGTTTAGTATACGCTTATATTTTTGAAACAACAACAACATCTAATGCTGGCATTTGCTCATACGTTATGTACAATGAAATTGAGAAATGATCAAATTTTCATAACTAAAATTTAATAAATTTAGTAACTCGGACGAATTATATATCTAAATAAATATAGTATACTTTATGCTGATGCACATTAGAAGTTTAAGTGCAGAAGTCATTCGAGTTTATTTCGTGTTTATTTTAAGTTTCCTATAATCGATAGCAATTAGAAGACAATATAAATTTATTTGAAATATATTGACTACCATGGATATTATTGTTAAACGATAATTATGTTTTTTCGCTAAATGGTGCAAAATTCAGAACCAAAAAAATCAAAAGGTATATGAGATTGCCAAACTTTGTAAAAAAAGAAAAATCGAACAAAAAAAAAAAACAAGTAAAAAAACATTAAGTAACTTTTAATACCATCCACCTTAGGGTAAAGGAAACATTAGAACCCATTAGGACACACAAATACCAATTTGTAGACAATTCGCAAAAAAAATGTGGCAAAAATTATCAAAATACGGAATATCTGGAGGTATAACAAGCGTATGTAAGTCTTGTTGCAATAGATCCCAATTTGAAGTAAATGCTTAAAACTAAACTTCAACTTTTTTACCTACGAAAAAAAAAAAAATACAAGGCAACAAAACACAAAAAATATTCGAGACAAAATGCGGCATCTGACGAAAGCATTAAAATTAATCTAATGTAAAAGCCATGGTTTGCCATTGACAGAATTTCACTCCTCCTTACACGTTACGACACTGCCCATTTTATCAAAAACAAATATGTAACAACAAATTATTACTTCAACAATAAATCAATTCGATTCTCAAAAACAAAGGTCTATATGTATAGTAAACTATAAACTAATATACCCCTCCCTTATAAGACTTTACAATTTGATCAACCCAAGCTGTACATATGTTGGACTGTTTTGGTAAATTGATAAGCGTTGTAATTTGTCACAATATTTAATAAACAAATAAATGCATATTAAATTTATGACACATAAATTGCCTTCTATTTCCAGACTGTATTCATGTGTGCACGTTGGTGGGATGCTTTCAATGTAGCAATGTTGCATACAAGACAATGAGAAGGTGCATGTGTGGGGTGTACATCGACAGTGCATTTAGTTGGTTTATTCAACTGTCAAGTGATCTGTAGAAATGTACTGAGTTTATCTCACTGTTTTATAAAGTAATAAGCAATTTTTTGGTTATTCCTGACTACCAATATCAGTAGCAAACTATCGTTTCTTCATGGATGGACGTATACATTTAGTGTACATGTCTACATCGAAAACCGGTATTGTTAGACAAATTATTAACACTTATTTGAATGTGCGTATGAATATGTATTAAATCAGTTGATTAAGAATAGTGGAACAACGACAGCAACAACCAATTCTAAAATCTTACTGCTATTCTGTTTATTCTACGAGAGCTATCTGGATTTGTTTATCAATAAGATAACATGTTTTTAGATCATGCGACTGACTTAGTTGCTGTTAAAATAAAATGTGGTTGCCAACCCGATTCTCGAATTATTATTTAACGATAACATATACTGCCCGCCTGGCAGCTATAAATGCTAACGTTTTTCACCAAAGTCAATAAAATGTCTTGGGTTAATTGATTTCTATTTATGACTTTGCCTTCAGTCTTTGTGTGATAACGTTTACAATAAAACTCAACAAACAATTTCATTAGAATGTTTAGAAATTGTTATTCAAACAGTATGTATCTGTAAATAAGTACCTACCTAGATTACAATGATTTTGAATTGTTTGCTAACATACTGTTCTAATTTTTCTTCTTATATGCCACTTGTAAATATCTAATTCAAATAAACTTCTAATTAGTTTGAAATTGCATAGAAGATATAAAAGTACCTACATACCAATACATTGATATTTTTGAATTTATCTTAAACTTCTAGACACACCCCTTTTTGATTTCATTCATTTATTTATTATATTGCTTGCTTCAGTTTGAAATTCTACCATCGTTGTATTTTGAGATACTATAAATATTAGTAATAATATGAATTCCTTGAGTTTGTGATTTCAATTGTATAATTTTTTCCCGTAAACAGGGGTCAATTGACACATTCGAAAGAATTTCGATTGAAATGAATATAAATAAGGGGTCGAATTTCCAAATTCGATCGGGGTTGGGCATATTGCACAAAATTTTTAGTGCACTAAGATTCAAAATTAGTGGTAGTGCTATTAAAATTTCACTATCACTAAAGAGTAGGAAATTTATTTTTTAAATATAACTAATGGTTAGTAGTAGCGCAATTTATTTTTTTTACTACCATCAACCCCTTAACTAATTGCACTACCACTAATGAATAGTGATAGTGAAATTATTAGTGCATACTAAAATATATAGTGTGCCCATCTCTGAATCGATATCGAAAATATCGCAATGTTTATTAGTCTAAGCTTGATAAACAGAAACTCGGTGGAAACGATAATATCGAATGTTAGAGTTGAACCCCAGGTCATGGCCTTATAAGGTCAGCCAGTAGACCCATCTGACAACTTAATTTGTTGTCAAAAGAAATATTGTAAATTAAAATTCAAAGAGAGTCAAATCCACAATGGCGCAAAAAGTACTAATGTATTGCCAACTTTTTTCAATTGGAGTTTTTTTGAAAAGGGTCGGCAAGGTTAGGCCTTGCCTCAGTTGTTACTACAACATTTTCAATCAAAATGGGCATATCGAAATTCATTTCGATCGAATTCTGTTATGTGCATTTAAGTTTGATTAAATGAAAAACGATTAATGAAAAAAGTTAAACAATTATGACGATACATTTTTCATTCTCATCAATCTGAAATAAAAATAAGAGAGAATTTTTGTAAAATGTTTCACGAGGTGTTTTTAACTTAACTTGTTTCATCATGATGAGAGCTTAAAATATGCGAAATCTTTATCCGTATATAATAACAACAAATAAGTTAAACCGAAATTACAAAACTGTACTTTCCTTTCCATGTACATAGTGGCATTTTTAAAGTTAGAAACTCATAGAATAAAAAAACGAATTTCGATTTCCTTAGTTTTGTCTTTTGAAAGTACCTTCAATTTTATAATTCAATATTTTTTTTCAAGAATTCAACTTTAAAATATGCAACCGTTAAAATATGAATAATTAGTTTGATACGAAAAAGCAATGATGTACGAACGTATCAATATTTGAGATGACAATTTTAATCAATTAATAGGGAAGGAAAATGCTGCTTCTATGCTACCCTACTGCGGGAAGTTATACAATTTTCTAATCTTCCTTACCCCCAAATTCTGCAATTGTTCAACGACCGACACCATGTCACTAATTATGCACCCACAATGCTTAAGTCGATTTTGCCAACAGTGCTAGATAAATATAGCATGGCTTATGTATGTTGTATAATTCAACATACACCTCCAGAGGTGGAGATTGGTAAGAAGAAAAACAAAAGGGTTGCAATTGTGTAGGGTAGATGTATACACCTTATGCAATTTCTTTGCACTTGAGCATACAGGCAGACACCCACCTAACTCGGGAACACACAAACATACTGCAATACTCGCATATAGCAAAGAAGGAAACATTTTATTAGATAAAATATTTTCGTTTATTACTGAACGTACAATGTTTGCTTTCTTGTGCTTTTTTGGCCAAGTGACCAACAACACTAGAGATTGTGAAGACCTTCTATTAGCGGCAGAAAAACAACAATCAACTGCAAAAAAATACTATGTATATACGTTTTTCCGTGGCGAATAATGCGTCAATAAGAACATGTTGAGCAAAAGGAAAGCACAAAAATGGGTATTACATAACCAAATCACATCAAAAATGACACTTTAAAATGGAACTGTGTGAACAAATATGACAAATCAGGATTTAGAGAAATCTATTGATATAGAGATGGCACTGCTCGGCTAACATGAACATTTGTGCTTTTATTGATAATGGACAATTTTATATTTGGATTTGTTACTTACCGCCCTTGGTTGGAACACGGTGAGTGCTGTGTTGAGCACGATAACCCGTAATAAGTTCAAAATCGCCGGAATCACGACGCAATGGGAATGCAATTTCAATGATGTGGTCACAGGGTTGCATAAGCATCAAAATACCCTTAACCTTCTTTTTCTTATCCTCCAGGGACAATTTGCCTTTCATGTCATCCAACAAGCGGTCTTCGGCGATTTGACAACCACGGTGGAAGAAGTATTCAACCATGTCAAAGAAGCGAGGGTCTTTGGCAGTGGGCACGTCCTTTAGACGGTCTGGAATTTGGTAATCGGCATAGCCGCGAGCCTGCAAAGCGGCAGTTGGCAAAGCCTTGACCAATGTTGCCGCTTCTTGGCGTATGGCGGCATGACGTGCTAATTCTTCAGGTGATACATTTTTCTGGTGTTCCGCGAATACACTTCAACTCCTCACACACAAAACCAATATCTTACAGCTGCCTCGGCTATTGTTTAATCTCCACTGCCTAAAGTCGGTGGAGCTCTCACCGATACCACGAACTGACTGACAAAATTTCCTTTGCAATGTTTAATTGAATTTCTACGATTACAATCGGATATATTTGCTATGGTGTTGTGTTTGTTTTCGTCTTCACAATGGTATTGCCAGACACAAATTCAATCTGACGTGGCCGCATATTTAATACGTACGATTTGTTGCAAGCAAACGTATCATTATGTACGCCGACTAAAAAATCTGACAAAAATGTCACGTCGATAGTGGAATTTGAAAAATTTAAAATTTGTATAAGTATACAAAGCAATTACATTCTTGACCACGTAAAATACTAAGTCGATTTACGCGATGTCCGTCTGTCCTGTTGTAATCACCTTTCTTTCGAACAAATTGAGATAGAAAGGTAAAATTTTG